ACAGAGTTACAAACAAAGTGGTAGGGAATTAACAATGGTGGTTGTATTACATATTGATATCTTCAAAGTGGCTTCTCATGAAAACAGATATAAACATGCAGCATAAACTCTTTGTTTAGTTAGTTTTAGAGATGTCTTCTGAGTATACTGCATATCCACTGGAACTTGGTGTTCCTTTTCTGATTAACAGTGGGGAGGTTAGAGCTCAATGTGATGGTGCATGCCTAAGGTCCCAAGGACTTTGAAATCTGAGATGGGAGAAGGTTTGCCTGAGCCAAGTTCAAGATCAGCTGCAGCTAGAAATGGTTTTAAAAAAGGGTGGGGATCATATGGTATTGCAGAGTTTACACTGATTTCTATGTAGTAAATATTGACTTAATCACCATGTAGCCGGGCATGGTGGCACGCACCTGTAATCCCAGCACTCAGGAGGCTGAGGCAGGAGGATCATTGCATGTTTGAGACCAGCCTGGGCTACAAAGTGAGCTCAAGGCCAGCCTGAACTACACAGTGAGACCCTGTCTCAAAAAAAGAAAAAAAAAGAAAAAGAAAAAAAAAATGTATGTATGACATAGTTTTCATGAGGAAGGGTTTCTGAGATTTAAACATGATAGATTTTTAGTTTTTCTCCAGTACTGGGAACCGAACTCACAACCTTGCGCTTGCCAGGCAGGCGCTTTTGCCGCTGAGCTAAATCCCCAGCCCTAAACATGATAGATTTTTAAATGAACTCTTCAGTTGGCTGTTGCCTCAGAGACCATAAATGATAGATATTTTTGTGAGCATACAATAAAAACATAGAAGAGGGAAACAGTGAGAAAGGAGGGACGGCAAGGAATAAATTATAGTATTTGATGGGGAATAAAAGGTAATTTTGCCTCTTTGAAGATAAAATTTTAGGTTTTTTCAGTCTGACTTCTTTATTTACTCATAAATAATACCCTACAGTTAAGTAATTTCATGTACTTTACAAGATATTTCTATATATTATTACATTTGATTCTTGTATAGCAATCTTGTTAAACAGAAGTTTGGTAATTCTAGTTCATAAATGAAGAAATGGTTGCTTTAAATAGACTACATGATTTACTTGAGCATTTGTAGTTTGTAAGGCACAGATCTCAGAACTCATAATATAGATAATGATCAGGACCCTATCCCACCCAGGCAGGATGTCTACTGTTTCTCTCTATCCGTCAGTCTCCTTATACTTAAATGGAATGAATCATGGTATCTGTTTGATAGAATTTTGTGACTATTTAAATGAGTTAGTACAAGTAAAACATTTAGAATGTCTTTGATATATAATAAGCACTTACTAAATATTGGGTGTTTTATTATAATTTTAAAAAGTGTTTTAGTAATGTATATTTGTAGTATATAACAGGGGAGTTGGTACATATCACAACACAGCTTAATTCTTTTTATATTCTCTTTCCCTTCTCCTTTCTCTCCCGTCCCTCCATCTCTTGGTCCCTTCTTATTCACAAAAGATATGTAATTGATCCCATATTACTCAAACATCTCCTAACTGGAGTTCATAGTTGTATAATGTTTAATCATGACACAGTGCTTACATAACATGTATAGACTGGTGTAGATATAATCTCATTTGATCCTTTCAATCAGTGCTTGAATTAGGCAAGGAAAGTTATTACATTATAATTTGTGATTTAAGATTTATTATAAAATAATTTGCCCAAATTCAAACAGTTTTTAAATGACTGCATAAGGTACATGATCTGTATTTTTTGATCCCAAGTTTAGCATTCCTTTTATGACTGCATTCCAGTAAAATGCAAAATAAGACAATGTATAAATTTATTATTCTAAAGGTGAAGTTTTGACAAAATTCTTTAAGAATGAGTATCTTTACGTGGTTTGGGTAATGAAAACTTATTTTTTGATGAGGGAGAAAAAATCATCTCGAGTGTTAGTAAAATAATTAGGCTTGGGGCTTTGAGGTCTTATGTGATGCAATTAGAAATGATTATTAGTAATGTTTATAAATGTTTGTTTAAAAATTCTTCACAGCTACATCCTCTTCTGCAGTGTCCGCCCATTCCCCATCAGTTATTGTAGCCGTGGTGGAAGGGAGAGGACTTGCCAGAGGTGAAATAGGAATGGCAAGTATTGATTTAAAATGCCCGCAAATTATACTCTCCCAGTTTGCAGACAACACCACATATACAAAGGTAAGCACTAATAACCCCAGAAGAGGGTTGATCTAGTGGGTAGTGTGGCGATTCCGAAGTCGGTGCTTTCCTAATTGATTTACATTTTAGAAGGGTAAAGGTTAGTCATGGTTATTCCAATGTAAATAATATGAATTAAAATAAAATTATTTTAAGTCTCCTTTTTATTTTTTAAATATGTTTTATCCTAAAAAGAATGTGTTTTATTGGCATGAGACTATCCCAAGGCTACTGTTAATATTAGCTTCTAAAGGTAATGTCTTCAAACTAATAATTCCTGGATTTACTCCATAGGTAACATGTGATAACCTTACCTCCAGAGGGTTGTTGCCACTGAAATTGTGTTTCAATTTTATTTTTCAGGATTTAAGGGAATCTAGTTTATTAGATTAGTTATAATTTAATATCCTCTTGCCTTTACTTCTTATTTACCTTCATTTTAAATTACTTACTATAAGTTTGGGCCACTGGCCTATTGTCATGGGAATTTGTATGATCTATCAGGTAGAGATAATCTATTCCTAATCTCTGTATTTTAAAATGGTGACTCAATTATAATTACTTTAAAATATCTATTCTTATTTTTAATATTTTATTGTTCTTTACTCACAAATTTCCCAGTATTCCTCAGAATATAGGCTTCCTTTTTCTCACTAATAATTTATTTTTTATTATACCTCACAACCTAAATCAGTGATGGCAGACCTTTTAGAGCTTTCTTTAATAACAAATAGCCTGCTATGGCACGTGTGTTATAGGTTCGCCACCACTGACCTAAATGATATTAATGCTGCATGCTAACTTCCTATCTGGGTATCTGGGTATTGTACAGTTTTTACGTAGTTTGAAAAGAATAAGAACACTGTTTTGTTTCGCTTTGTTTTTAGTAAGACAGGTTCTATATAATCCAAGCTGGACTTTGACTTACTATATAGCCTTGTGTGGCCTCAGTCTCAAGGTGATCCTCTTGTCTCCGCCTCATGAGTGCTGAGATTGCAGGCATGTGCCATCATGCCTTGTGGGATTTTTTTTTTTTTAATAGGGGAGTGTGAGACTAACTGATTAGGACTTTCCATGTCTAGAGTAACTATAATAAGTCCACCTCATTTTGTGAAAACCATAAGGCACATATTTTTAGTTTGTGTTTCTGCACTTTTCATCTTCTAAATTGTGCGAGTATGGTCAAACTGAATTTGATAGTATTGGCTTAGTTACACTATTGTATATGTTTATATTTTTTGTAGAGAAAGGTTAAATACTGAGCAGAAGAATTTCTTTTAAAATATCTTATTTGGAGAATGTATATTTGATGAGCTTAAATTAATTTTTGAGTTAAAGCCACTATAAATTACTATGAGTAAAATATAGTTAAGCTGGATCTCATGGCACATGCCTGTATCCCAGGACTCTGGAGGCTGAAGCTGGAGGATCATGGCTTTCAGACCTGTGTGGGCTACACAGTGAGTTCTAGGCCAGCCTGGACTATAATCAAGTCTCCAAAAACTAAAAAAAAGTAAATAAATTAACTCTAGATCTATATCTATACACACATGCACACACACACGGCTTATGTTTTTGAAAATATTTTATATTTTTATTCATATAGGGATGTACATTTATTATGCTCCCATTAGAAATCTATTTTGATTGAAATACATAATTAGGATCATTATAATCTTACCACTGAGGGCCGGGGATATAGCTCAGTAGCACAAGCGCCTGCCTGGCAAGTGCAAGGACCTGAGTTTGATTTCCGGTACCAAAAAAAAAAAAAAAATTTTTTTACATATGAATTAATTGTAAGTACTTATCTTTTAGAAAGATGAAGCTCTTTGTTTTAGAAAGTATTTTAAGTTTGCATTTAAGAAGTTATTTATTCCAACAATTTCAGGTGATCACGAAACTCAAAATTTTATCACCTTTGGAAATAATAATGTCAAACACTGCTTGCGTTGTGGGAAATTCAACCAAGTTGTTTACTCTTATCACAGAAAATTTCAAGGTAAACAATTTTACCTCTTAATATTTAAGATTGAATTATTTAAAATACATTTTGTAACTTTATTAGAGCAGTAATTTGAGTAATTGCATATTTAGAATCCTAAAATAGTCAAAAAATATAAATCCTAATCTGAGGAACTGCTAACTCAGAAATGATAGAGAATCTACTGATTTAATTTGGCCCTCTAGATCTACTTAAAGCAAAAGAAAAAATATGTTAAGTAATAAGGAGATTTCTGAGTATACAAGGAGCAGATTCTTAAAGAAAGCAGTTTTCCTTAGGTGCAGCATCCTAGAAACTAATTACTGTGGTATCTAGGTAAAAATGAAGTTTTCATCCTTTTACGGGACTCTCAGCAAGTGCTTTTTCCTCTAGGTAATTTGAGGAACTAAAAGAATTACAGAATTCTTTCAGGTCCCCCTGGTAACATATAGTGCCTTGAAATTAGCGTGCTACTGTTGTTTCCATCTTTGGGACTGTGACAAGTAAGTGGTGTGGAAGCCTATCCCACAAATGCTTTGTGCCTCTAAGGGTCTTTCTACCATGTAGTTAATGTCTTCGCTCCAGCAAATCTCCCTGTTTTGTAGAAAGGGGGCTGTGGTCCAAAACGAAGTGGGCAACTATGCAGTTGTCATAATTCCTAAGGTGTGTAGATAAATTTCAGAATATACAATATTTTCTTATGTTAATAGATTTATTGCTTAACACATTTGAAACCAAGCTGAAATTTAGGGTCCAATGAGTTCCTTTTTCATTTTTAATATATTCTCTGTTTGCAGTTTTGTAATATTTGTCATGGTACTCTAGAGTTCTTATGTAGCTCAGCTGTTTTTGAATCACTGACAGAAAGACTCCCTGTTATAAATCTACTTGTCTCTATGATACAAGTTCCTTTCATCTTCCCATCCCTCCTTGCCAAGGTAGAACTAGAGACTGAACCCAGGGTGTTCACAGTGGCTTACATTCCTATATCCCCACATCCCTATGTCCTTGGCCATTTTATTTTCTTCCTTTTTTTTTCTCTCTCTCTCTCTCTCTCTCTCTCTCTCTCTCTCTCTCTCTCTCTCTCTCTCTTTCTTTCTTTCTTTCTTTCTTTTGACAGGATCTCACAAAGTTACTAAATTCTTCAGGCTGAGTTAGAACTTGTGCTTCTCCTGTCTCAGTCTCCCAGAGTGCTGAGGTTATAGGCACTCACCACCATGCCCACTTGGTTTTTTTTATTCACTGACTCATGCTTCTTTTAAATTATCTTTATTTCTATATTCCTTTCCAATTTTTGGTTTTTGTTGTTTTTCTGATTAGGCTTTCTAAGCTTTTTGGATATAATTAGCAAAAGTCCAAATTAAACTAGTGTAAGCAGGAAGAAAACTGATCAGTTTATGCAACTGGGAAGTCAGTGGTTACAGAGATCCTGTCCCTGCTGTTAAAGATAAAGCCAGACGTCAAAGTGGTAAGGACACATTTTTAGTCAGTAACAAACTATTGCAATAGGAAGAAGAATTCAGTGTGAACTGCACTCAACCTAACTTTGTATAAAGGTGATGGCATTTTAATAGGAGAGTGAAGAATGAGGGAGGGAAGTGAGCAGGGGCTCAGAGTCAGGAAGTGAAAGCTTCTAAGAAGCAGGCTAGTCCGGTTGGTCCAGTGAAACCCATCTCAGTTTGTTTGTGCTTATCAGGGTTAAGCTCCTTCTCTCACACAGGGGATGAGAGACAGACACCACACATGCCCTGAAAGGACCTTGGTTAAATCAGAGGCAGTATGAGGTAGGAGGCATATGGACTTCTCAGTTAAACAAATTTCAGTTTGATAGGAAAAAAGTGACTTGACCTTCCAGAGTTTTACTTACAGGAAAATTGAAGTCAGTACGACTTAGATCAGAGGGTTATTGTAAAGATTAAATGAGATAACTTTTGAAACATGTATCTTGCCATACACGTTCCCTACCTGTTCATTTCCTTTCAATCCTAACAGGTCTCACAGGCCATTGTTATTGTATTAGCTTTTTACCCATTACATTTGTTCAAAATAGGTAAACCTTTCACTATACAATTTCATGCCTTTTTACAAACTTTGAGAAGTTCTAATATGTCTTTCTCTTTATTCTAAATAAATTCACCTCATGTAGGCAGCATTTCATAGGTTTGATAGGTGGAATTGGGCTTCATATTCTCAGCTAGCACAGTATTAGGGTCATAGACTGACCCGGCCCGGCTATGCCACCCATTCCAGGTCCCTCCTGCCCCAGGCACCACCCATGGGGGGGCCAGCCCACTCCTCCAAGCTTTCCCCACTCAAGACACCACTTGTTGGAACTAGTCCTGCTACTAGTTTGTTCTCTGGGCCCAAAGGTGAGTAAGGTAAAGACAAAGAGACATGGAATCAGTTTAACATGTGGGCAGCCAGGAGGCTCTTGTCTCTAGTGGCCAGAGGAGCCCCTGATGTCTGGCTCCTCCTACTTTTGTTCATTTAAACACAGGTATAAACAATTAAAATAACACAAAATTCTTCTGCCTTCCAATATCCATTACTCCATGCTCAGGTAAACAACTTCGGTTCAGCCATCTTTACTTTTCCCTCGAACCTATTAGGTACCTTTCTCCTTAGTGCTCACAGAGCAGGCCAATTAGGCCTCAGTTCCCTAACTGGTCTGCACAGGCGCACCCTGTTTTAGAGTGTGAAAGGCTGAGTGTATGACTTACGTGCTGCTGTGGAGGTATAAAGTTGCTAGAAGATAGAGACTTGTATTTCTTTATTCCTTTTATAGTGCTGGGAATTGAACCCAGGGTCTTGCTCAAGCTAAGCAGTTTCTCTAGTACTATGCTACACTCCAGCCCTGTTTCTTATTATTACACCTAACATAGTGAGTTAAATTCCATGAGAATAATGTCTAATAACAGCTAGAGACTGTATTGTAATTCACTTAGCAAGTTGGATAGCCATTCATTCACTTTTTATTAATACCTAAGAAAACTTCTAATTTCAGTGTTAAAAGCATTAAAAATTAACTATATAATAGTTAAGCCACTTACCAACCTACAGAATGTGTTGAAGAAAGCAGTTTTGAGCTAGTGCATGGCCGTTAAAATTTTTATTTTGAAATTAAAACTTCTTTCAGAATGTTAATTTCACTACTATCCAAAGGAAATACTTCAATGAAACAAAAGGATTAGAGTACATTGAACAGCTATGCATAGCGGAATTCAGCACTGTCCTACTGGAAGTTCAGTCCAAGTAAGTTGCATCTTGAGGAAAGTAATAAATCATCCAGTGGGGGGGTTCCACAAGGGCAGGGACTTTTGTCTGTTTTGTTTTCCACTGTATTTCTATCTCTTAGAAAAGTGCTTGGCTCATAATGTACACTCAGTGACTATTGAAATACTAAGATAGTTAACTAAATTGTACATAAGGCCTATATTAATAATTTGTGTAGAATTTGTCCACATTGGTCATAATCTATTGCCCTAATGGTTCTGCTCATTGTACTTTTGAATGAAAAGCTCAAGTAGCTATATATTACAGGAAATGTGAGGTCTCATAAGTGAAATACAGTTTAAAAAGCATGTTTCTTTTACTTCATACCTGTACTTCTAAAAATTCCCCTTGGGACAGGGAAGACATTTTTAGAACAGATTTCTTTGAGCATGTTAGATAGATACCTTCTTTGAACCTGGTTGGTCCACCTGTTTACTCAGTTAATCACAATAGCTGCTCTCAGAAAGATTACTACATGCGTTGGCATACACTGGGACCTCCTATTGCTGTCATGATATTATTTGAATGCTTAGAACAGTATGTCAGGAATTGACACAAATTAAAGTTGAATGTTGTCTTCTAACAAGTGATTTTTGGGAGTCTAATAGCCCTTAAGTAACAGACTTAAAAAAATTGTCTGTTTGTGTCAGTTTTATGGATTAGAGATTATTTACCTAGTTTTCAAAAATAAGGTACATTCACTGTACATATTCACTTTGAATTTAAACAGTGCTATGCAGATGTTTTTAACTGTCCTAATATTAAGGTGAAATAAGTATTTCCTGTTATAGCAATATTTCTTTTTATTCTGAAGACACAGTATTGTATCCTTGGTTACCTTGCAGGTATTACTGCCTTGCAGCTCTTGCAGCTTTGTTAAAGTATGTTGAGTTTATTCAAAATTCAGTTTATGCACCAAAATCGCTGAAGATTTGTTTCCAGGGTAGTGAGCAGACAGCCATGATAGATTCCGCATCAGCCCAAAACCTTGAATTGCTAATTAATAATCAAGACAGTAGGTAAGATCATTCAATATTATTCCAATAGAATATATCAGTATTTTCATGTCATATTTTTGTATGAAGTTACTTTAAAGTTATTTAAATGGTTTGATGGAGAAATATTGAATAAACATTTTTAGTCTTTTAAAAGGCATTATGTATTATTGCTGAACTACTCAGATGTTTCACCAAAATCAGGTTTTAAACATATATTTGTATTAAAAAGCTCAGTTAAAAACTGGATAAAGGGACTTAATAGAAATTTCTCCAAAAAAAGGGAAACAAATGGCCAATAAGTACATGAAAAGATGCTCAACATCTTGAGTCACTGGGGAAATGAAAATGAATACCACAGTTAGGGGTGGGGATTTGGCTCAGTGGTAGAGTTCATCACCACCATCACAACAGAAAACCCACAGTGAGATAGCACTTCACACCCATTAGGATATGTGTTGAAGTTACTCTATTATTGATTTTCTATGTTGTCCTTCCTGTGTTACTGTAGCACAGAAAGTCAATGATCACCCTTGGTAATTATCACAAAGTGTTGTATGTCAGTGTTACCTGTCATGTGCCATACTTTATCACTGTTTATCATTGTCAAACACTGCTTGAGTTCTGGTTATATCTTAGAGATACAGAGACTTGAAAGAATATCTGACCTCCAGGTGTTCATTGATGGTGGAAAAAGAGAGATTACAAAGCATTTTTAGAAACTCAAATCAAAGGATTTCAGGCTAAAACATGGAAATCCTACTGAACTATCAGAATAGCTCTAATGCTTCTATCATCTTGTTACCTCTTAACACCTATTATTTTCTATATCAAGTGGCAGGCCTGTGTATGCTGCTCACTTCTTTTGTTCCTGCAGAAACCAAGCCCACAAAAAGAAAAGAAATTGTGCATGTGATAAAAAACTCCCAGCCAGTTGATTTAATTAGTGCCTAAAAATATAAATTGCTGTGACCAAAATCCGGTAGTCTGATGACTAAAACTTGAGAGTTTTTACACCTCACATTCAGCCCATCCAAAAATTTTCTTCACAGTCTGTATCAATTTTGAAACTCCTCTCAACACCTTAACTGAAGCCTCTGTCATCTTGTCTGGACTTCAGCTTCCTAATTTGTCTTCTTACTCTCCTACAGTTAGTGTATTCTCAACATAGCAGCCAACGCGTATATATATATATATTTCAATGTATATTTTTAATCCAGAAATCAGGTCTTATAACTCTACTGCATAAAACCTTGTGGCTCCCCTTACATTTAGGATAGAACCCAGACTCTTCACTATGACGTACAGGTTATCTGTGTCCTAGTCTTTATTAAATTCTTCATTCACCTCCCTCCATTCTTATACCTCCCCCCCAAGTCACAAAGTTGTACCAACTTTGATTTTTCCAGATCTGGAGTCAGACTTTCTGGGTTTTAATTTTTGCTCTGCTATTTAGTTGAAAGTAATACAAGTAGCAGTACAAGTACTACAAGTTCTGTAAGTACTGCAAATAGTAGTTGTAACTTGGGTTACCTGGAAATCCTGTACAAGTTATTTAATTTCCTTGTGCTTTAGTTTCTTCAGCTGTAAACTGTGGTTAACAATAGCATCGCTCTTAAAATTAAATGAGTTAATCCATATGAAGTCTTTAAATCAGTTCCTAGTGCATACTAAATGTTATATGTTAGTGGTCCTAATCATCATCATCATGCCCATCTCATCATCATTTTTGCACCCTCCCCATCTCCTTTTTTGGCACTGAGGTCTTAAGTCAGCTGTCAGATATCCAAGGGAAATCTTTTTCACCTTAACTAAATCAAGCAAAGAGATCTTTCTCTGTTAATTTGTTGTTTTTTTAGCATTTTTTGTATGATTATGTGTTTATTATGTATCTCCCCTTACTCTTGGTCTTGTCCTCAGTTATGGCCATGATAAAAATAATTGGTAGTCACTAGCCTCTAAGGTCTGTGAAGACAGGAATCTTGTCTGTTTTGTTTGCTCAAGGCATAGCATAAAGGTTTAATGAACCAGCTATTTCTCAGGCATCATCACTGTCTCATAAATAGCCCAGTGAAATAAATCCTTAAGAGTAGGTCATTTCTTTATAAGGATCATTTAGAAATGATGAAACTGTCTTTTGCTTGTAATTCTTCTGTAATTTTTTCAGTTAGAACAAAATTATTATATCAAATACTCATTTTATCAATGTCGAAGACCTCTTGCCTTTAAGGATATATTATTGACATTTTGCTATTATTGGTCAAATGTTATGAACTAGAAAACTTTGTTAATATGAATATTATAGCATATATGGGAAAAAGTCACTAAGTGCAAGGAGATGCTCTTGATTGTTGTCAGTCATGATGCTTCCTAGACTGACACCAGGGAGTGTTCAAAATGTAGATGCTCAGGTGTTATCCCAGACCTACTTAGTTAAAATCCCCTTGTAATTTGCATACAAAGTAAGGTTTGAGAATTACTAATGTAGTTATAGCATTATTTAATTACAAAGTTAAAATGCAGTTGTCTTGGACTTTCTTGTATACTTAATGAAATTCTTCCACTTGTGTTTTCAAAGGAATAATCACACTCTCTTTGGTGTTCTAAATTATACTAAGACTCCTGGAGGGAGTAGAAGACTTCGTTCTAATATATTAGAGCCTCTAGTTGATATTGAAACCATTAACATGAGATTAGATTGTGTTCAAGAATTACTTCAAGAAGAAGAACTCTTTTTTGGCCTTCAGTCAGGTAAATGAATATTACTTAATTTTGTAAATGCAGATTATTAAAAAATGCAGTTGGTTTAGGTGAGTCACGTCTTGTAAGTTTCTAAAAGGCAGGTAATAAAAGTATATAATTTTACTTGAAAGCTCCTTTCTGAAATGTTCCCCTGAATCCTGTAGTAAATAATTTAGAGGTATGTTTTATATTTTCGTTTCCTGGATCCTATTCTTTTTTCCATGGGTTATTTTAATAGACATTTGACAATTCTTTTTCTCAATGTTAATACTCAAACAAGGGATGCTTTGTCCAGACTATCTGGTAATTATCTGGTAATTACTATCAAGATAATTATCAACCGGTGGGGTTTATTAGTTTATTAGGCCTTTTGTAAAAAGTACTGCATATTCTGTGGATGAAAACAAATTTTTTGTCTCACAATTCTGAAAGCTGGAAGCTGAAAGCAAGGTGTTGGTGGGGCCATCATCCCTTGGGAGCTTGTTAGGGGAAACCCTTTGCCTCCCCCTAACTTCTGTGGGTGGCTGGCAGTCTGTGCACTCTCATGCGGCTCCAGCACACAGTTTTGGCCACTGTGGCTGTCACAGGGTGTTCTCCTCGTACTTATGTCTTCATATTACCTTCTTAAAAGGAAACTGGCCATACTGCATTAAGACACACCCTGTGACCTCATTTGAACTTGATTATATTTGCAAAACCCCACATTCCAATGAAATTACATTCACAGGTGCAATTTAAACACTTAGAACTTAAACATTTCTTTTTGGGAGACATAGTTTAACTCATAACATGAAGTATAAAAATTGTCTTTGGGTTGCAGCTGTCTGTTCACTGGCATGATGGTGCACTTATCGCCTTAAATCTGAAAGTGGAAGGATAGTTTATATGCACTGCTAGTTACTAGGAAGCTGGTCACTGGTTAGCAGCTCTGTCTCTCCTGCACAGCTCCACTCTGCTGACTGCACCTTGAATTCTGGTAGTCTAACTGAAGTAGTACATAAAAGTCTAGAAGATATTTACATACAACCTGAGTAGATTTTTCTCAGTTCAATTCCTATTACATGTAAGATAAAGAAAGATCATTATAAGTAATACCTGCAGGTAGAACTTTTCTGTTTTATTATTCAAGGTAATATACAATCCGTAATTTCAATTGTATCATAAAGTTTAATGTTCACATTTTGTCTGTTTCAGTTATATCAAAATTCCTTGATACAGAACAGCTTCTTTCTGTTTTAGTCCAAATTCCAAAGCAAGACACGGTATGCTTACATATACATTATGTTACTATTATACTTATGTGATATAATTTAATGTAATAAAGGGAAAATATCAAACTGTCTGAGAAGAGTACTTCATTATTATCCTATATATTATGGTACAATAAAAAGCTTGTTAGATAGTTGGGAAATTGGTCTATTTTCATTGATCATATATTTAAGGAGTTATATATAATTTTGAAAAAACTTAGAGTGCAATAACATTTACCTAATAACTTACTAAGTAAAAGTTTTGTCAGACCCAGCGAGATACGGTGACACATACTTGTAATCACAGCATTCTGTGTAGTCAAGTAAGAAGATCAAAAGTTCAAGACCAGCCTGGGTAGCTTAGCAACTTAGTGAGACCATGCCTCAAAATAAAAAATAAAAAGGGATAGGGATTTATATTTGTATGGAGGTCCTGCATTCCTTTGGTGGTGGAGGCCCACCACCACCAAAAAAAAAGTTAGATACAAGGAATATATATAATTTTTGTTTTTGTTTTTGAGACAGGATCTCTCTATGTAGTTCAGGATGGCCTTGAGCTCACTGTAGCTCAGGCTGGTCTCAAAATCTTGGCAGTCTTCCTGCCTCGGTCTCCTGAGTGCTGGGATTACAGGTGTGCACCACCATACCTGGTCAGAGAGCATATTCTTAAACGTGATCATCATGTGGCATTTCATTAGCCTTCAAATATGCTTAACCTTTAAGAATGAAGCAATATAATTGCTCAGTGATGTTCAACTACAAGTTATGTTTAAAGACAAAGGAAATAACAGTTTCATTCTTCCTCCTAAGGTGACCTGAAGAATATTTGCTTTAATGAAATACATATATATATTTGCTCATATGGTGAAGGAAAGAGTTTTGGATGTTGATAAAATTTCCTTTAAAATTTTATTTCTTGTGTAAATCTACCAAGGCTTAATTTATATTGGGGACCCTTCCCATGTTGTAAAGAAAATACTCTGAAGGTTCATTTTAATAAAACATAAGTAAGTGAAAATATGTTAGGTTTGGAGTGGCACAGCACAGAGGTTAAAACACTTTATAAATCAATGTATGCAAGTGGGAGATAACCTGAATTAACTGATGTGTGGAACAAAATTAGCTGACCGTATGAACTGAGTTTGGATGTATTCCCTCCTCTTCAGTTATCTGGTAGGGTTTATGTAGATCCAATATGTGTTCCTTAACCTGTTGATAAAATTCACAAATGAAGTTATTAGAGCTTGTAATTTTTTGGTAGGAAGGTTTATAACTAAAAAGTAACTTTTAATTAGGTATGGTGCTTTTCAGGTTGTTTCTTTGTAAGTTGTGTGTTCCAGAGAATTTATCATTCCACTCAATTTTTCAAACTTACTGGCATAAAATTGCTCATAACATCCTCTGCATTCTACCTTTTAGATCTGTAAAGTTTTTAGTGATGTACTACATCATTCTTTTTTTTTTTTTTTTTTTTGGTTTTTCTCCGGTACCGGGATGTACTACATCATTCTTGATATTGGTAACTTGAATATGCTCTCTTCTGATTCATCTGGCTAGGGGTTTTAATTGTATTGCTCTTCTTGAAGAGCTAGCTTTTGATCTCAGTGATTTCTCTACCCTTTTTTGTGCTGTTTCATTGATTTTGGTTTTATCAATTTTATTTCCATTATTCTCTTTACTCTGTGCTTAGCTTTTACTTTTATTCAAGCTTCTAAGGTAGAAGTGGAGTCATTGGTTTGAGATCTTTTTATTTGCTAATATATTTAGTACTGCAAATTTCCTCATGAATAATACATTTGCTGTGTTCTACAATATGGATATTTTGTTTTCTTTCTCATTCAAAAAAGTTAAAAAAAACTTTGATGTATGGGTCATTTAGAGGTTTATTGTTTATTTCTAATGTGTGGGGACTGTCCACTACCTTTCTGTCATTGATGTCTAATTTACTTCTTTAGTGGACAGAGAATAAGAATTATTTAATACAGACCATTTTCCTTTATTGAAACTGTTTTATTGCCCAGAATAGGGTCTATCTTCATGAATGTTCCATTTGAATTTGAAAAGAATGTATTTTGCTGATGTTGACTGGAATGTTCCATAACTCATGTTGTCAGTTAGTTCAAATTAATTGATGGTGTTTAAATTTCTTAAATACACATTAGGTTTTTTGTCTATTTGTTTTACTAGTTACTGAGAGAAGTGTGTTGAAGTCTACAACTATAACTGTGGATCTGTCTATTTTTTCTTTGCAGTTCTATCAGTTTTTATCTAATGTGTTTTGAAATTCTCTTTATTAGTTGAACATTTACATGAACATTAAAGATGAACATGAACATTAAATATGAACATTTAAGATCATTATATTCTCTTAATGAATTTTAACCTTTATCATTATGAAATGACCTTCTTTATCCCTAGTCATGTTCTTTGCTCTAAAAATCTACTGTGCCTGAAGGGGGAAATTAAAAATTTTAAATAAAAGCCTGCCAAGGATGCCGACCAAGACCAAGCAGACATGTTCAGCAGGCTCAATAACAGAACACTCCTTCATTTGTGTAAACTCCAGTCTTACTGCTTTTGTTTAACTGATGGCCTTGCAATGCAACTTTAGATATAACAGCACACTTCTTTTGTGTAACTCATACTTGTTTAATTGTGGCCTTACAATGTAACTTGAGATATTTAAACCCGCTTAGCAACCCATGATGTCACCCAACCCTCCAATCATAATGCACCAAAATCTGCCTTTATACCTCCCTGCTTACCTTCCCTGTAGAAATCCCAAAACCCTGCTGAGTGGGCCTGGCTCTTTGGAAACAATCCCAGTCACAGGTGCAAATACACTGCCTCCTAAACCTTCTCAGTGCCATTTCTTCCTGTGTTTGGTCTGGTTTCCGTAACATGTCCACTATTAATATAGCTAGTCCAGCTGTCTTTAATTAGTATTAGCCTAAGACATTTTGCCATTCTTTGGCTTTTATCATATTTGTATCTTTGAAGTGAGTTTCTTGTAGGCAACATGAGGTGTGAACAAAAATACAGTGAAAGATCACTTATTGGATGCACAAGATAGGACTGTTTTCTCTCATTCTGTCAGTTGTATTTTCACTTTCTTCATGACATTTCCTATTAACTCCCTATGCAAGTGATACATATTGAGCTGTCTTTTCTCCCTCTTCTCTCTGTAGTATAACACTTTGCTACTTTTTATCATTCATTATGGGTATGATAATTTTAGTTAGATCAAAATTATTATAGTTTCCTATGCTATAAATGCTTATGACATTTTGTTTTTTCCCTCAGAATTAATAACTGTATTTTTAATTTTGAAGAAAAAAATAAGAAAATAACAACGAAAACAAAAACAATAAAAATGATACAGAATTTCAAAACAAAATGATAGTAAATTTACAATAATTGTTATATTACATATTGTTATCTTCAACACAGTTGCTTAGATTACCAGGTGTAAGAATGCAAGATTGATCAAACAATTAAAGAGAATAAAAAGTAATAAAAAACATTAGAAACAGTGCAGAACTTCACTAAACAAGATGGTAGGAATTCACCAATGGTTGTTATATTGCGTATTATTTTTCTAGCTGTATGTTCTACTATTCATATTCACTAACTCAAGCATAGATATTGCAACCAATTATCTGAATATCCTCCAGTATATTCTGAAGATCCCCTCAACATATTCATTCACATTAGGTGCCCAGTCAGTTTCAGTCCCTTGGAGAGGTCTTTCCCGGTCTTCTAGTCCGTTCCACTGTGTGCTGGTTGCCGCTCTTTCCGGGCGCACCACTGCCACCCCAGGTCCCTCTTCAGCCTCTTGCTCTGTCCCTTCCATGTGTCTCATGTGGTGCACTTTCTCCAAATGGTTTATTTTTACCTTTTTGTGGGACACATTCTCTATTAATTCTTTCAGAACATTGAGTGTTCCTATTGCTTGATCATAGTTAAGTGATATTTGCCCCCTAGACAGAATTTTAGGTGGGAAGTAATTTTTCTTCAGGATTTTGGAGGCATTTCTCCATCACCTGTAGTGTCTGGAGTTTCTGCTGACAAGTCAAGGCCACTGGGATTTCTGAATTATTTGATTGGACTTTCTTTTTTCCCCTTCCCTCTCTGGAAACATGTAAGACCTTTTGGTTTCAGCATTTTAGAAAAAGTAAAAATAAAGATTAAATAAAATTTACAACCTGCAGACTATTTGCATTCCCTTTAAATATATACAGTGTTTATTTATCAGATGTGAATGTAAATATACAGAGTACTACAATTAGCCTTTATGACCCTTTGCCAGGTTCTATTGTTTTAAACAGTATTTTCAAATGATAATATTTTAAAGAACAGTTTTTACCAGTGAATGGCATGTTTTACAGAGAAAAGTGCAATTCATTATATGAGAACAGAAAATAGATACTTAATTAGTATGTATCTTAGTTACACAAATCTGTACAACAAACTGAGGGCCTCAAAACCACACACATGTGTTGTCTCATATTTCTAGAGGGCAGCAGTCAGAAGTCAAGGTGTTTCAGGGCCATGCTCTCTCTGGAACCAGTTCTTGGCTTTGCCTAGGTATGAGTGATTTGTTTGCGATCTCTGACATTCCTTGGCTTGCATGTGCATAACTCGGCTCATAACACAGACACCTGTGTCTGTGCGTTCACATGGCTGTCTTGTATGTGACAGCAAGAATGCTGGATTAGGACCTCTCTGCTCCAGGATGACATCATTCTCACTAGTTACCTACCTCTGCAATGAGCCTATTTGGAAATCATGTCACATTCTGAGGTGCTGTGGTCAGAACTTTATCATACATTTGGGTGTGGGGACACAATTCAGTCTAAGCGTATGTGAGTAAAGGCTGTGTTTCTGTTTTATCAGTGGATAGAATTAACTGTCATACCTGAGAGCAGTCTTTTTATTGTCATTTTATATAATATACAGTATTATACAGTTTTGCCGTGCCAGTTATAAGAATTAGTAATAATGTTTTGGCA